TTTTTCCAACTTAATTGCTCTTGAAAACTATTTAAATTGCGTATAAAAATTACGTGTCCTGTTTTACATGGACCACCCTCTATATAAAATTTCTATACAACGATTATATCGATTAAGTCAAAATGGGTACTTCCCCCAGAAAGTTTACAATAACAATACCGAACGCAATGTCAAAATTTCATTTAAAAAACTAAACCCACCTGATATATTCCAAAGTGACGTATCCAAGAAACCTAATTTAACAGCTTCCAAATAGAAATCAGAACGAATAATCACAAAGTCAGATATATTTAAAAGTGAACTATCCAAACAACCTAATTTAAAAGAAAGAGAAAAAGAACCCAAAATCACATTTGCTATTGAAAAAAAAAATTCCAAAAAATCATCGAGAAAGATACGCCGCCACGAAAAACGTGAACTCGATAGAGGAACGAGTTAAGCCTGGCACGAGAGCTAGGGCACTGCTGGAAAGCTGACATTAATAATAGAGACGTTATATTGAACGATCAGGATGAAGAATTATGGGACACGTTTCTTGCACCCTGGAGAGCGAGGCACGCGGCTTAGGTGAAAAAGTGGAGGAAACAAAGGGACCACGTGAGAAAGGCTCTGTTCGCGGGATGATATGTGACCGTTGTGTTTCGATTCTTTCTTTACGCGAAACGCTTTGGGCAACGACGCCATTATCCGCCGGTTAAGCAGCCGTAGATCGTAAATCATGCATCAGCGAGATCAAATAATACCGCGAAATAACATTTCTATTCGAACTGTCTGCAGCCACGACCATTCATTTCTCCTGCAATGCGTTTCACGCGATATTACACGAAACGGCCGTGGAATGCGATTATGTCCATTCAAACTCCACCGATTCGCGTTATCGACATGTAAGTTCGTTCTTTCCTACTCTTTTCTTTCTTTCTTGTTTCTTTTACAGATTTTTCAGTGATTCGACGATTATCTCGATCGATCGGAGCATTTTCAACAATGATTTACTGGTACTTTCTAATAAGTTTCGTGTTTGAGGTTATGTTAGGTTAGGTTGGAGAACCGAGGAATTTAACAGGATTCGAAGTAGCGTGAAAATCAGAGAAAAGGGAATTACGAAAATACAGGAATAATTGTAGAGAATTCTGCGAGGACGATTTATTATTTTCATTTATTTCTCCACTGTCTATTCCGCCATCTTGGATTTCACGTGAAGCTTAGAGAATGAAATATTGTTTTTTACACTGCACGGATCTTTCGTGTCGACTTTTCGTAAATCCTAGACGTAAATAAATTAAAATTTTTTCATTTTTAAACAAACTACCATATCGCGTTTTATTATTAAACATTTCTCTGGGCGATGGCTTACGGAATAAAAGTCAAACTTGAAGAAGATTCGATTCGCAGTTTAACGGTACTAATTACGAGTGAAATATACGAACAATTTAATTTTCCTGCGGCAGCAGTACGATACCAATACAACCTTACAATTCGAATGGTAAATTTGCAAGTGTTTGCGATAAATTGACGAAACTAATGGAACAACTGAAAGAAGGACAAGGAGAGGTGGTAAGACGTGAAAATGAAACAGATTCGAAGATTACGTCGTGCCTGTTAAATTACAATAAAACGACCATGCGATATTTAATTCGGGATTGAAACTCAAAGGCACCTGAAGCTTTGCATTTCATCAATTTTCCTCCTGCAGCCGCTGTTCTTTTATCACCGTTATTATCATTGTTCCTTTTTACTCCCTTTATTATTTCCGTCCGAGCTGCTTCTTCAGCGCGATTCTCTGATTAACAATCAGGCATAAGAATTCCATCTGTACTTTCTTATTAACAGGCATCACGAATTTACGGTGATATTACGTCTATTTGCAGAGTCGAATTATTTCTTCTTTTATTTTCCTTTCTCGTTACTATTATTATTTGCAGCAAATATTTACTTATTTCTTTCGTTTCGTTCTTTACATATTAATCGAATTGATCAGTGTCCCAATTTCTTTCTGATCAAACTTTGATACGCATCGAGATACATCTGTGTATAGATATTACGCGCACGTGTAACTTCCTCGATATACCGGGTGTCCCAGTTTTTCCCGATCAAAATTTATGAAACTTTGTCAGTGTGTTCTGTGGGTGTAAGTGAGAAGAAAATGTTATATGGACATAGGTCGTTTGAAGCTTCGTTAAAAAGTTATAGTGCTTAGAACATGTACGAAAATTATATCTGGAATTATGAAATGATAAAAATTACATCTTCCAACTATAATCCTCGTTTATTTGCTAAGTTCGCTGCTCTTTAACTTCCGGAACGTGTTAAAATCGAAAATCTATCTTTACAATTTACAAACTCGAGCCAACCAAGCCACTTTTCGAACAATTTTTTCACCGAACTAACATTTCCCACGAATGTAATTTCACGACTGAATTATTACACGCGTGTAATAAATGTAAAGGTGCCACAGGAATAAGAAGAAAAAGGAAGAAAGAAACGAGACGTAATTAAACGCAGAAAAAACGAACGGAGAACGGAAATAGAGTTCGTGGTGAAATAATGTTTCCACGGCGCGCGGAAAAACTTCGTTTTTTTTTTCCATCGATATCTCGATGGCCTCGGTGGGAAAGTGGCAGGAGAAATAGAGTGAGTCGCAGGTAACGCGGACCGCGTTGTATTTATGTGACGTTCCTGGTGGAAACCGTGGCTGTTCTCTGGAGAACGCTTTTCCATCGAGTGTTATTGCGCGCTCGTGAAAACCAATAATGAAACAATGACGTTTTCCATGAATTTAATGCGGCCGATTCGTTTACCGGGAGCGAAGTCGTCAACTGGGTCTGAAGTCGATTCGAAAAGTCGTCGACGAGAGGGTTCGGCAGCACTTTGTTTTGGATTTCTCGAAAATATCCGGCAAAAATGGCGGAAGATACGGGCAATTACGTGAAAAAGAATTAATCCGATTATTTTTCTTTTTGTTTTTTTTCAATTATCGATTATTATCGCACTTTCCATACTCGTGCATTTTGTTCGAATCCCTTTTCCACCGGTGAAACGAATATGTACGGTTGGTGTGTTTAATTGGTAGGGCGAGAATAATTTAATTGTAATTGAAATGGTGGATGGTATATACGTTATATTTAATTAAGTGTAACGATGTTTGCGTGCATCTGCTGGATTAACCTGTTATGAAACCGTAAACTGCAAATTTCGTTGTAAACGACTGTTCACCGGCGATAAATCCAATTGTTTTTTTTTTTTTTTTTCTGTAAATGGGAAACTGAAGACTCCTGGTTGATCGTTGCATTATTAATCGAAGAGCAATATTTTATAATTTTTTAACGTACGTTTGGAATATAGATGTGAATGCAATTTGACAAATGTTAGTTAAAAATTGACTTAAATTTTATCTGAAAGAGAGAGAAAAATACAGAAGTATTAGTTGATATAGTTGAATATTACTATTAATATTGATACATAAAATGAAATTCAATATTAGTTAAATTTAATTTTAATAATAAAAGTAATTTTTAATTAAATTTAATAACAGCAGTTAAAATTAATATTACTATTAACATTAATACATAAAAATTGAATACTTCACACAACACTGGTATCACAGACACAAGAAAATTCCTGGAAAAAAGGGAAAGAAGGAACAAGTAGAATAAACGCCACTCCTAGGAGCTTACAATTTGTAATGACCTATAGAAAAGCATATATTACGAGCGAGTGCAACAAGCACGTCCCCTAATTCCATGGAATTAGGATCGTAACGCCTAACGCGAGTCTCGCGTGACAAGAAAGACGCATAAATTCGAATCGAAACGACAATGTTAATTCACCAGGTCGCTGGTACGTGAAATGGGATTTAAATCGCGAGATCTCCGCCAGCTTGCCACTAAATTACTCCCATAAACGGCAATTTTAGAATTTTCTACCAGGTCGATCGATCGTAATGTCATAATTCCCCGGTATCGAGATTTCGAACCTCTCTCTTCCCTTTGTAACAGTTACATACAAGCAGTTGTGCAACATTCAGGTATCGTAAACAAACTGAGAAATTGTCTCGCGAATACGTTAAGTTACCCTGGCAATGAGAAATTACGAGTAATTACATCTTGCTAGGAAGAAAAACGTCACCCGGTAGATATTTGCAATTTGTGGACGTAATTCGGACTTGGATTGAAGTTATCTTAATTAAACTTCAACCCTTTCCCCGAAACTTCTTCCTAGTATCCTCTTTTCGTGTTAAAAAATAAAACTGTGCATTTATTATTAATTTTGCAATAAGTGCAATTATATTTAAACAAGTACAATGTCTACGATTTAACATAATTTTATTTAAACCATGCTTGTAAATAAGCAAATTCCATCGTTTCACTTTTAATCATTACTTTATTTCAACTTTCTGCCGGTTCTCGTTGAGCAAATATTGCAAAAAGGGTGGACAATATTCACGGCCTTCATACTTCAAACCCCTTCTCTCCCACCGTTTCCCAATTCCTAATAATTCAATCGCAAAAGGTGCGCAATATTTACATTACCTATTTGGTCACTTCGGTTGAAACTCGACCGAATTTACGACATCCTTTACGCACATACGTGAGTACTCTCTACCAACTGTACATACAGCCGACATATATACCTAGAAATTCATGTACACAACATTACCGCATACAGGGTGTCGCCACACTTACGGAACGACACTCGAAAACAAATCGAACAATAAAATACTCTTCTCCACAATTTTTTCCCTGTCTTCGACACAGAGTTACAATTCAACCCAGTTGCCACACTTGTCCTATATAAAAATAACCCTCCAAAAAGACACACCGCCGATCCTTGATCCAGCGACACCCTCTATGCACATCTTCCTCGTGAATCTCACGAAGGACACATGTACACACACTCTAAGCGTAGATCGACACACAATGCACAATGCCCACCGGCCATGTCATACATCGATACATGCAACGATCAACAATCCCAGGCTAGTGACTATTCCAAACACTCACCTCGGACGCGGATCACTATCCTGCACGTGCTGGTATAATTCGACACGGGTGACCACGCCGTGAAGGTGACGACCGTCGTACCTGCCGGCAGATCCGCCTGCAATTGCTTCGCCCATGACGGAGAGGCGTCCACGTACCTGCAAAACAACCAAGTCATCCATCGTTTCGGCTAACAACCCGAGATTTGACTTGGCCGGGGCGAGGGCAGGAGGGAAGCGGGGTGGAACGTATAGAGGGATCAACGATCCATCGAGAACTGTCGAGGGAGGTAAGAGAGATCGATCGTGGCAGCGATTAACATACGAATCGGTGCCTGGATTCACGATCCCTACGGCTATTGACGCGTCGCGACGCGGATGATTTCTCTATCGGGTCGCGTAAAAGCGGACGGCAGAGACGCAGGGACAAATACCGGGGCAAAGACGTGTATACGGCCTTGGAAGGAAGCCCCTAAGCTCGTTTGGAATTCCCATTGTACACCGCGGAAGGCTACCTACCTGTCCCGGTTTTGCCGCGCAAGATACACCGTCCCATTGTGGCGAAATATTGTGGAAGAGACGGAAGAAATTAATTTCGGCGGAACGTTAGATGGTGATTCTTTTAGGTGGTTCTGTTAATTTTGAAATAATTTGGAGGATGTTTGAAGATTCGGCTTGTGCGAGTAAAGGGTTACATTCATTTTTTTGGGAAGATTCGTGTTACTATACTTTTGTGGATGAAAATTGGACGTGATCTGTCGTTTTTATAGAGGAATTTAGTTTTACCGCTATTTCTATTTTCTATGTTAAGTTTGATAAAAGGCTGTAGTAAATACTGAAATGATATAAGATTACTTTGATCTCTGAGATAATTTCGACGACTTTTATTGACACAGAGAACTCGGTAACTAAGCGAAAAGTATTTTAATGAAAATCCAAGGAAATTTTATAGCGGCGATATAATGGTCTTACAAAAAAAAAAAAAAAAAAATTCTTACATTTTTTTTATTAAATTTAAAAACTCGTTGGAAACACTGATTTAAGTTACAAAATTTCACAGGAACTTATGGGATGATCTAATGCATCATCACTGTACTTTTTATACAGTATTACCCTCGTTATCAAGACGTACTTCAAATTTAACCCTTTCGTGACAGAATAATTTTTTTCAAGAATTTATCATTCATCTGAAATTCGGTTCAATTTTTGTTCAAGTACACTCGATACGCATCCCACTGGTCGCGAAAGGGTTAAATCAATATCTCTTCGAACTTTCCTATCTCGCCAAGCACCATCGACGAATTGCAACGCGTTATCTTGAGAAACGAGCGTCTATAGACACCGTTCAATAATAACATTCGACATAGTAACTCATAGATAAATACCTCCACCAGTTCATGTTGGACTTAGGCTGCGGAAACGAGACGCGTATCGTGTTCTGCCTTGCGGGTAGCTCGACGTCCATGTCTCGGGGACACCTCACGAACGGTCGTGGCATGTCTGAAGCAACAAAGCCTGTTATTAAACATGCGGTTTTCCGTGAAACGTCCGCCGGAATTACAGTTCTGCCCGTGGTGCTACGAGGAAGGGACGTGGCACAATGTACACCGGATATATCAGGTCTGCGGGAAAATTTTATATTTTCCGCGATTTCTTTCGAACTGTAACATTGTCCCAGAATTTTTATCTCAGAGAGGGACAATTGAAAGAGACGAGGTGTATTTTGGCGAACGTGTATGGAAGAGTTAATCGTCGCAGAAATATCGAATTTTGTTAAATGTGAATTCGATATTTATTTTTTATTTATTTTGCGATTGTGAATTGTAGTAATTCTTACAATTCTTTGTTAATACATTTTTGGGAGCTACCTGTGCTTTCACGATCGTTAAGATCGAAATCATTTTGCTCGAAAGATTTAATCGATATTTTTCGCTCTTGTCAAGAGAAGAACATGCATGCTTTTGCAGATATTGTTATATATTGTTATATGTTGTTTACAGAATGAGCCTATAAATTGTTGCTAACAAACTAAGGACAAGCAGCAGCATATTTTAAATTTAAACTACATTTCTAACTTATTAAAAATTTAGTAGGTTACTTATCGATACACCTAATATTTTATTAAAAATATATAGGGCGAATCAGAAGAATTCTATCCTATCTTACCTGTCGTATACCTGTGGACGAAAAATTTCATATAATATTTGGAATATGAAGTGTTCTTCATAAGTTTCTGTACGTATGCAGACTTTTGTTATTCAACCTTAATTCAGAATTCTATAGAAACTATCTTCTGTCTAATGATATTTTATTAAACCCATCTTTGGGATTGGAATTAATAAGTGCTGACACTTTGCAATACACATGTTCATCTATAGGCGCTTTGAAAATTTACTGACGTTGCACAGATCGCGCCTTTTGATGGACTTCTAGCCTAACTTAACACTTTAACGCTCGTGCGAGTGTCTCACATGTGCACAACTAATCCTCCAATAAGTGTAATTTTCTTTTACTTTTCAAATCGCGTTATCCTTTCTATTAAGGCGAAAACGTAAGTTGCAGCATTATAAATAACGAGAAACTTATTTCTATACGCCCAGAAAATAATAAAAAAAATAAATGAAACTGATCACGTTTGGCGTATCAAATTGGGAAAAAATGTAAGCGTTAACCCCTTAACCTATGATTTCTTTTCTGACTGTGCATCTAAGCGTCAGCCATTTACAAATTTTAGTACTGTACCGGGTAATAAAGTTAATCTGTTGCAGATTAATTACATCTTGTAATTCTCAGTCTTCGGAATTCAAACGAAAGTTAGGATTACGATGAATTTTTCTTACTGATACAACGATTTTTCTCGCATCTTCGCCGGAATCTCTGCCACGAGTCTGACACGTTGTTATAGGTTAAAGGGTTAATCCTTAATTTTATCTTGTAAGTATCTATTTCTACCTTGATTTAATTTAAGCAAATTTTAAAACGGCACAGCCAAAATAAAAGAGTTTGCGACTACGGTTGAACGTCTCCGTAGCGAACGGGTTAAAAAGTAACAATAAACACATCCAAAAATTATGTAGCTCGATAAGACGTACACGTATAAAAGGGAATTTTGCAAGAATTAATATTCGTTGTTTGGTGTTGGTGTGCGGTGAAAATGATCACGTAACACGTGAAACCGTCCTCTCGAGTAATCGAATTATCGACTGAGTCCCGGCAAATTGCCCGAGGCGCTCAATTACTGCGTCTTCGCGGTAAACTGTCCCCTCCGAGGCCAGCCAGGCTTCTTACTTTACGCGTTTAATTGTTTGGCGGCGTTCCACCCGTACACCCGGTAATTATTTGCCGACGTAAAAGGCATTTCTAATTGCCGGCAGCCCCTTTCTATGCATACTGAATGCGCGAGGAACGGCGGGCGCCTCATCGCTGTCAAATAGCGTGGAAAGCAAACGTTTCGACGAGTTGATTCCCTCGTCGAACCACCTGAAATGTGTCTCGTTCCGCGGTCGTTCTTGATATAGATTGCCGGTTACCGTTTGTGTTTGCTTTTCTCTCAACGAAATTACTACCCGAGGAATATTAATATCGCGGTACACTTTATTGGCGCAGGCGTGAAAAGTGGGTCTCTTTGAGTTAGAGTCGAGTCACAGATTTTGGTGAAGATCTGATAGAAACAGTTATAGAGGTAACACAAATTAATTTTAATTCCAATTTTCGCTTTAGTTTGTAAGATTGAAGATTGGCAAATTTAATTAATCTATGACACATTAGCTTTTCTTAGTTAATGTAGTACCGAAACAGTGAGTAACTGGCGCTTAGACGCATTAGTCAGGAAAAGAAATCATACGTTAAGGAGTTGAGAGTCGAAATTTGTGGAAGTTAGAATTGTTCCTATTAGAGATCATCACAGAAGATTTTCTCGCGAATAATCGGGAATACAGATTAAGAATATAGACATTTTTATCGATAAAATTTGGAATTTGTCGAAATTAATTCGGTGCCTTTCTTCGCAAAATCTTGACGACCGCCATATTTTCTCAGAGAGGGAGTTCGTAAGTTATCCGACAAGTAGACAAATGGTCATCCAAAACAATGGAAATTATTTGAAACTTGAAAATTGTCTTTGATGTTTTTGTAAATAAACACTGAAGTTTATGAGAAAAGGCACCGAATTAATTTGTACACCTAATATAAATAATTATGACTGGTGTCGGTAAGCGACATTAATGACGAAAATAGGAAACTGCGAGAAGAAGTACACAGGAAGCACTACAGAAGTCTCATCAGTTGGGTCAAAAAAGACCCAAGGACCTTACGTATGCGTAACAATTTTTATTACCACTACGCTATACGAACCTAAACGATAAACTTTTAATATCCTGTCAAAGGAACATAAACTCGATAGCAGTAAAATTGATTAAAAAACTAAAAAGGCGATGGGTCAAAAATGACCCGGAGACCGTACGAGGATTAATACGAAAGTAGAGCAGAAAATCGTTTAAAATATATATTTCTACTGCGCTAACAAGCGAGCTTAAATACTCTCATCGACGTTGAACACTGCGAATTGTACGTGCATCAGCAGCTTCAGCAGTGAAGTTACGTTGACATCGTAAGGATCTTCAGCTCAGGCTACGTAATAACCAGGTACCACCGCGAGAGCTGATAACGATAACTCTACATTAATACCGCGTCGTTAGACCCTGTTATAACGACTCTAAGTCTGTCAAACAGACCGGGGGCTAATAACGAAGGTATAAAGCTCGACTTCTGGAACCAGTTGTCGCTTATCGAGTCACGGAGGACCATTATCAACACACTTCAGCTAGAAGGATCGTCATATTCAGACTCTGCGAACTGACACACGCTCGGTATCAAAATTCAACGGGGGGATGAGAAATTCACTTGGTGAAATTTCGACAACTAGACGCGAGCTTTCGTGTCAACATCCAAGGCATGAAATTCATCGCCACCGCCCGGATGTCCTCAGTGTCTCTCTCTTTCTCTACCGCGGGTTCCAGTAGTGTCTCTGATGACAGTCGCAAGTTAAAAGTGACGCTCGAGACACCTGACGCTAAATATAATTTTGCAGGCGAATTTATCATTCGAATATCGTGTATTTAGCTGCATTTTAGAGAATCTGCGAGGTGTCTATTTAGCGGATATTTTCGACAGAAACGGAAGGAAGTTTAGTTTGTAACGGGTGAGGTAATAGAATCTGCGTATTAAGACGCTTAGAACTGTTATTACGTCAAAATATCATTTTTCTGTGACAGAATGAATTTTCACAATTTAAAGATGCTTCATTTTTGTAGCGATTTCAGAAAACGTTAATCTACACAATTTTGGGAAAATTAGGGGGAAAATATAGGGTGCAAGCTTTAGCCCTGTATACTCTGATTTCAACAAATTCTAATTTTCAATACTTCAATATTTAATATCTCAATACTTAATATTTCAATATTTAATATTTTCATATTTCGATATTTTTTTTTTTTATTAATAGTAATACATCTGCAACTGGCCTCGTTTTTAGGCCAACCAGCAGATTTGACGTAATCTGGTGTGTCGTGCGTGAAGGGACATCCAGCGATGTTCCTTCAGTATTATATTCAATATTTCAGTATTTAATATTTCAATATTTACTACATCAATATATTAATAATTCAATATTTTAATTTATTTAATAAATATCAACATTAACCTCGATACATTTTCAATTCCTAACCTCAAAACTCGGGTGCAAGTCCACCCCTACACATTGCAATTTCGAAATTTATATTGTAAAAAAATGTATTAATAAAAAAACGAAATGGGGCTAAAATATAGATCATTGGACAACCTTCAAGTCACACGGCGTTACAGAGGGTTGAATAGAAGAACAAGAGACGATCGAGGGTCAGAGAAAGCGATAGAAGGGAGGACAGCGTACGCAAGAGGCGAAGGGAAATGAAATGTAAAAAAGAAAAGTGGAACACGTCTCTGTAAGCTCGTTAAGGCGTGGCGTTAACGTACGACGTCGTTAGCAACCGGCATTTACGCCGGAACTTCCTATTATTAAAAGCTGTTTAGACCGGCCGCGTGACTAATTAAATGCGCCGTTAGGATTTTCGTCGGCAAATAATTGCCGCTGACGGCGATCTTTCTTCCCGATCGTTTCGCAAAAACCACCTGCGAGCAGACACTACCGGATCCGCCAACCTTCCGCGGCTAGTTTCGTTACTGATTTTACAAAAACACGAGACACATCGCGACCTCGAAGACCTCGCCGCTGCAACTTCGTGCCTCCGCTCTTTACCTTTTAAAACGAGGATCAGGGGAAACAACTGGCTTCCTCAGCTTCCGCAAGATTTTCTGATTTTTACAGTCTCCACTCGATCATTTTTGTAAGTTTTTCTTTTTGGAAATTTAGAGGAAACATAAATGAAAATTGTGTAATAGGGTGAGTTTGAAAAGATTCGCGATAATAAAATCTACGAAAAGGAACTGAGTTGTTATTAACTTTGATGATATTAATTACTTTTTACAATTTGACGAAAGAATTGTTAGAATTTTCGAAACTAGAAAATCATTTTCTGACCTTCTTCCGCTGCTCCATAATTCATAATTTAAAAAATAAATAAAAATTCGAGGATGAGTTTACAAAGATTCTAGACATTCGAATTCACAGAAATAAAGTGAGTCGTTACTGACATTAGCGATATTATTTACAATTTAATTTAAGAAAATTGCCAGAATTTTCGATACTAGAATAACTTCCCGACTTTCCTCCGCAACTCACAATTTATTCATATCCCGAGCACAGACGTCTGCCACTAAAAATCCCAAGAGGACACGCGTCTAATCAAATTTCACCAGCACGATAAAAACCTTTCTCCCAATTTGCCAGAAATGTTAAACTCGACTTCAAAAAGACAATCATAATTCGAACGAATAAAAATCAAATTACCCCGGGCACTGTATGCATATTCTCGAGTAATTTCACCGTGGACAATAACGTCGGAATAATTCAAAGGGAACAGGATAGATAAGATACCTCTCGATCTGTCTATTATCGCACGAATTTTCGTTAGCGAAATCTCGAGACCGGGGCTCGATGCAATTCCAACGGATTAACGTCGAGCTAAAAGGTCGGTGAGGAAAGAGGCTCACCTGAATGGTAACGGGAATCGGTCACGATCGATTCTTGAATACAAGTCGGCTCCTTCCCGTTCCATCGATCTCCGGCCATACAGTACCTCGTGTGCGGTCCCTCCAGCCTGAAGCCCCTTCGACATCGTATATGACATCTGGCTCCAACGGGATAATCCACTGCCCCGGAAGAATGACCGGGACATCTGATCTACAATAAGAGAAACGCCGAAAATACAATGCGCCCGCGGGAGCGGAAATTTTTAAGAACAGTCGTGTGCGGAACGAACGGGAGAACAACTCGTGTACAGCTAGTGAAAGGGTTAGGTATTAAAATCACCGGTGACACTTATGCAAATCGTTATCCTTCTTGACGAATAGCTTGATATAGAAGCTACTGAGAAGTGAAAGTGACTAACTCCGTAAAATAAGATCGATTAAATTTGTTTTATTTATGAGAAATTAGGCACCGAGTATGTGCTTCGATACTAAAATGTGAAGGAAAGATTTTTCAATTTATAAAAGTTTTTCTAAATCAGTATCAATCTTCCTTTGTCAAACTAAAGTATCTACATTCGAGGGTTTTATTTTTGAAATTGTTGTGCATCAGCGTGGACGTTGATTCGGAAACGTTCCTTACCATTTCTTTCGTATTTTTGTTATTACTTATTAACAAAGCTTCAAACGACCTACGTTTATATAAAAAAAATTTCTTATCTATGCCCGCAGAATATACCCACCAAGTTTGACAAAGTTTGATCGGAAAAAATTCGGACACCCTGTATATTAAAGAAGTTACAAATGTCTAGAGGTGTACCTCCGTATACGTATAAGTACCTTTTAGTGTCACGTATGATATCTATCTTGGAGATATTTTCTGAAAATGTACTTTGTGTTCTTTTAGCTTGCAAACACAATATTTTTTTACTTATCTTGATCAGATTTAGAATTTAAATCTAGTGAACTGACGTAGAAAGAATTTCTAATCATATTTGTGTTGCATTTTTATGAAAACAAATTTGTAATAGTCGAATATTACTTTTTCTATCTGCCACGATTAGTTTTATTCCTTCAACTCTATATTTTCCTTTAACAATTTCTTACATTCTCGCGAAAGTATCGTAAAATTGTCGCGGATCCCCATTTTTTGGTCAATGCAAATTTCCACGATAAATTAACTTTAAATATCAAAACTTCCTACAACCGTGAACATTTCAGTTGTCTGCACAAAGGTTAAACGATCTCCTTAAATAAATATATAAATAAATAAGCGATTCAACCAGTTGGACAAACAAACGAAGTAATTACGAGAAGTGCGAAAACAATGGGGGAGGAATTAATACATTACGGGGCTAAGTGTATATTCTATGCAATAAATTGTTACGCACTTCGGCGTGGTGCGGCGGCTCCATAGCACGACATCTCAATTCCGTTGAAACACAAGTTCTCTCGTCGGAAGCCAACACCAGGTCGCCGTTGCACGTACAGTAGTAACTTCCGGCTGTGTTAACGCATTCACCGTTACAGCCCCCGTTACGGTTCAAGCACTCGTTTATATCTTGGCACTGGCTTCTATTTCTGAAAACAGAAGCCCGAATTCATCTAAGAAAATCCCCGCGACACGAACCAACTCCAGCTTTCCGATAAGCTATCGTTCCATCTTTGTTTCAACTTTTTTTTTAAACAATCTCTGTAACCTACCAAAGTGTTCGATAGAAGAGAAAAGTTACAGGTTTCGAATGAAATTTTAGAAATTTTACGAAAACGTGAAAAATTGAATTGTTTCTATTTTTTCTTTTGTTTTGTGTGTGAAATTGTTTCAGCTGGAATAAATAAAATTATAATATTCGAAGAGTACTGTTTGTGGAATAATGAAGGGGCACAGTTTGACGAATGTTCTCTATTTATTCGATAAAAGAAGAAAAGCTCAAGTTTTCCAATGAAATTTTATTATAGTTTCTAATATTTTTTTGGTTCCTTTGTGAAATTGTTTCTGCTGGAATAAGTAGAATTATAATATTTCAAGAGTCCTGTTTGTCGAATAATAAAGGAGTACAGTTTGTCCAAAGATTTAGAGGAAACATAAATGAAAATTGTGTAATAGGGTGAGTTTGAAAAGATTCGCGATAATAAAATCTACGAAAAGGAACTGAGTTGTTATTAACTTTGATGATATTAATTACTTTTTACAATTTGACGAAAGAATTGTTAGAATTTTCGAAACTAGAAAATCATTTTCTGACCTTCTTCCGCTGCTCCATAATTCATAATTTAAAAAATAAATAAAAATTCGAGGATGAGTTTACAAAGATTCTAAACATTCGAATTCACAGAAATAAAGTGAGTCGTTACTGACATTAGCGATATTATTTACAATTTAATTTAAGAAAATTGCCAGAATTTTCGATACTAGAATAACTTCCCGACTTTCCTCCGCAACTCACAATTTATTCATATCCCGAGCACAGACGTCTGCCACTAAAAATCCCAAGAGGACACGCGTCTAATCAAATTTCACCAGCACGATAAAAACCTTTCTCCCAATTTGCCAGAAATGTTAAACTCGACTTCAAAAAGACAATCATAATTCGAACGAATAAAAATCAAATTACCCCGGGCACTGTATGCATATTCTCGAGTAATTTCACCGTGGACAATAACGTCGGAATAATTCAAAGGGAACAGGATAGATAAGATACCTCTCGATCTGTCTATTATCGCACGAATTTTCGTTAGCGAAATCTCGAGACCGGGGCTCGATGCAATTCCAACGGATTAACGTCGAGCTAAAAGGTCGGTGAGGAAAGAGGCTCACCTGAATGGTAACGGGAATCGGTCACGATCGATTCTTGAATACAAGTCGGCTCCTTCCCGTTCCATCGATCTCCGGCCATACAGTACCTCGTGTGCGGTCCCTCCAGCCTGAAGCCCCTTCGACATCGTATATGACATCTGGCTCCAACGGGATAATCCACTGCCCCGGAAGAATGACCGGGACATCTGATCTACAATAAGAGAAACGCCGAAAATACAATGCGCCCGCGGGAGCGGAAATTTTTAAGAACAGTCGTGTGCGGAACGAACGGGAGAACAACTCGTGTACAGCTAGTGAAAGGGTTAGGTATTAAAATCACCGGTGACACTTATGCAAATCGTTATCCTTCTTGACGAATAGCTTGATATAGAAGCTACTGAGAAGTGAAAGTGACTAACTCCGTAAAATAAGATCGATTAAATTTGTTTTATTTATGAGAAATTAGGCACCGAGTATGTGCTTCGATACTAAAATGTGAAGGAAAGATTTTTCAATTTATAAAAGTTTTTCTAAATCAGTATCAATCTTCCTTTGTCAAACTAAAGTATCTACATTCGAGGGTTTTATTTTTGAAATTGTTGTGCATCAGCGTGGACGTTGATTCGGAAACGTTCCTTACCATTTCTTTCGTATTTTTGTTATTACTTATTAACAAAACTTCAAACGACCTACGTTTATATAAAAAAAATTTCTTATCTATGCCCGCAGAATATACCCACCAAGTTTGACAAAGTTTGATCGGAAAAAATTCGGACACCCTGTATATTAAAGAAGTTACAAATGTCTAGAGGTGTACCTCCGTATACGTATAAGTACCTTTTAGTGTCACGTATGATATCTATCTTGGAGATATTTTCTGAAAATGTACTTTGTGTTCTTTTAGCTTGCAAACACAATATTTTTTTACTTATCTTGATCAGATTTAGAATTTAAATCTAGTGAACTGACGTAGAAAGAATTTCTAATCATATTTGTGTTGCATTTTTATGAAAACAAATTTGTAATAGTCGAATATTACTTTTTCTATCTGCCACGATTAGTTTTATTCCTTCAACTCTATATTTTCCTTTAACAATTTCTTACATTCTCGCGAAAGTATCGTAAAATTGTCGCGGATCCCCATTTTTTGGTCAATGCAAATTTCCACGATAAATTAACTTTAAATATCAAAACTTCCTACAACCGTGAACATTTCAGTTGTCTGCACAAAGGTTAAACGATCTCCTTAAATAAATATATAAATAAATAAGCGATTCAACCAGTTGGACAAACAAACGAAGTAATTACGAGAAGTGCGAAAACAATGGGGGAGGAATTAATACATTACGGGGCTAAGTGTATATTCTATGCAATAAATTGTTACGCACTTCGGCGTGGTGCGGCGGCTCCATAGCACGACATCTCAATTCCGTTGAAACACAAGTTCTCTCGTCGGAAGCCAACACCAGGTCGCCGTTGCACGTACAGTAGTAACTTCCGGCTGTGTTAACGCATTCACCGTTACAGCCCCCGTTACGGTTCAAGCACTCGTTTATATCTTGGCACTGGCTTCTATTTCTGAAAACAGAAGCCCGAATTCATCTAAGAAAATCCCCGCGACACGAACCAACTCCAGCTTTCCGATAAGCTATCGTTCCATCTTTGTTTCAACTTTTTTTTTAAACAATCTCTGTAACCTACCAAAGTGTTCGATAGAAGAGAAAAGTTACAGGTTTCGAATGAAATTTTAGAAATTTTACGAAAACGTGAAAAATTGAATTGTTTCTATTTTTTCTTTTGTTTTGTGTGTGAAATTGTTTCAGCTGGAATAAATAAAATTATAATATTCGAAGAGTACTGTTTGTGGAATAATGAAGGGGCACAGTTTGACGAATGTTCTCTATTTATTCGATAAAAGAAGAAAAGCTCAAGTTTTCCAATGAAATTTTATTATAGTTTCTAATATTTTTTTGGTTCCTTTGTGAAATTGTTTCTGCTGGAATAAGTAGAATTATAATATTTCAAGAGTCCTGTTTGTCGAATAATAAAGGAGTACAGTTTGTCCAAAGTTCTCTATTTATTCGATAAAAGAAGAAAAGCTAAAATTTTCCAATGAAATTTTACAAATTTGACAAAAAAGTGAAAAATTGAATAGTTTCTATTTCTTTTTTTTTCTTTTTGTAAGATTGTTTCAGTTAGAATAAATAGAATTACAATATTCGAGCAGTTCTGTTTTTCGAATAATAAAGAGGCACGCTTTGTTGAAAGTTCTTTATTTAAATGGGAGATTCTGAGAGAGGATTTAATTAGTTTTCTCACCTCTGACTCGAGATATAACCAGGACGACAGGCACACACGTAGGATCCGGCTGTATTAATGCAATCTTGCTCGCATCTGCCGTTGTTCCACTCGCATTCGTTTACGTCTAATTAGAAACTGCTTGTTAATATCGTCAACTATAGACAAGTTCCAAATTTTTGCGAAATAATAATTTTTCGTTACTTTCGTCGTTCGGTTCAGACGTAAAGACACAGCTCTAACATTGATCAATTTGTAAATGCCGACACAATTTCGTTCTATCTTCACTTCTGTAGCAAGAAAACATTTCTAATCAGATTATCCAACATTTCCTCCAATCTGCAAACTTCAATCACTGTAAAAGCCACTGCTAATCTAGTCCATCCTTTTCTTCATATTTCCTTTCATGAATGGAAACAAACATTTCTTTCGAATATTTTTTCAATCAGTTTCTTCGTTCGTCAGGTATAGAAGAATTTACGAATTGTTTAAAAAATACTATCAACTCGAATTTTGATTTATCTGATTCTGCAAATGGTTCTTGTAACGCGGTAAATAAATACTCTTTTGCAATTCGGTAGGTGTTTTTTTCTTTTTTACAGGATTTAGTTCATCCTTTTTTTCCATTTTTTTTTTTTTTTTAATTAAAAGGACCCCTTTTTGTAATCAAACTTCAACATCATTAATCATTTCCAGCAACACTTTTCCAGTTCGTCAAACACACACCAATCCTCTAATTGAAGAGCTTTCGGGGAAAAAACTGGGACAAAACGGGTGAGCTGAATAAATTGCATTGGAAGTTTTAGTTTAGTCCGCAGATCAGCTGTACACGATTCAACGGGAAATGTTACTTTGACCTCTATCGATGGAATATTAAAAGAAAATTCGAAGGGAAGATTTCTAGAGATACGGCCTTGCGAAACTGTTTTCACTCCCTCAATACGAACGACAGCGAATTAAAAAAAGATACGTGTGAAATATTTGCATTGTAAATTTCACGAAAATCGGTGAGCGACGATCGCTTAAGAACTTCGCTTTTTTTTGTCATCTGAAAAAATCCAAGGAAAAAGCGTATTTGTGACTTTAACCCATCGCCATTTTGTAGAAAAATTTTTTAAAAGTATAATCTTGGTTGGAGCAATAGCGACTCTCTTTAGGATTAAAAAAAACGTTCGGTCTAATTTTGTGAGGTCAATAGTAAAGCCGCCAGCCTTGGAACAACTCAGCAAGGATGTTCTCACGCCACGGCGTATAACTCTGAGTATTGCAAACATTTCAAGTTCTTATTAGCGATTTTACACAGCCAAAAGATGAATAAAGTTATACACAAAGAATCAATATCGTAACTTTTCCTGTCTCCGAGGGAAAAAATCACGAAGTCAGCGGTCTAAACCCAAATACCTCCTTAAATTAAGACGAAAGTCTGCAAAGGACAAAATTAAGATGGAAACGCGCGAAAAGGCGCGAACAAATCTTGAAAGCGCCTGCAGGCGTCAACGGCAATGAGACGTTTAATTAAAAACGATCAACAAAAGGGGGTTCATAGGCCTATAAATCTCTTCCCGCAAGAAAAGCTCTTCTACTTGCTACAAAAGCCTCACTATTCCCGTTTAATCGTTAACAAGCGGCCAGTTGTCGCGGATCCCTTCCATCTGATCAGAATCGCGCGTAAATGGAGCGTGTACCGCGTTCAAGAATGACGACGCCTCTAAACAGCATCTTCGCCGAGACCATACTTGCCTATGCAATCATCTCCTCGCGGCCTAAATCCCGGCAAGCAAGTGCACCGATAAGAGCCGACAGTGTTGATGCAGCTCTCTTTGCACGGCGCGTCCTCGACGCACTCGTCGATATCTACGCGTGCCAAGCTTACACTTAATGGAAACGTAGCGAATCTATAGTTCGAGCAAATATTTTCCACCTACCTACACAATCGTCCCCGTCCAATCGATACCCCGACTGACACTCGCAACGATAGCTGCCGTAAGTGTTGATGCACTTGTTCCTCTTGCAAGGACCGCTCGCACACTCGTCGATATCTGAAAACGACCGCAGGGGGAAAGATTGTTTTCCTTTCTGTTTTCAACGTACGTTGCGCTGCGTGTCAGCAGTTCGAATAGCGTTAATGTTACGGGGTGTAAAAAAATTATACGTCGCAATTATCTGTGACGAACATGTGTTTAGAAAAGGGTACTGTTGTGGTGGATTTAGGAGATTATGGTTTCGTTTCTGCCTTCACCTGCGATAGTTTGAACAGAATTGATGTTACGTGGTGCAATGTACAGGGTGTACAGAAATTATAGAGATTCTGCCTAACACATAGTGACTCTGATCTAAAATGAGGTAGAGACTCTTTTTGAGTCAGACCATTTAAGGAATCTACTCGGGACAGGGGACTCAGGTAGTGCTCGAAAGATAGATTATTATTTGTATATATGATAGATATATAATTGTGAATGAACGTTGTGCAGAGCGCGAAATGTCTAGGCTTACTGACAGGAAAATTGTGTTCGTGTCGTGTGGTGTTCGCTATTTTATAAACTACGTGTGTGTTGTGATTGGTGGTGTGAAAACTGTCGCAGGTGGTGGAAGTGTGTGGTGATTGGTTTTTTTCGGTGTGTTTGGGGTGTGTCTGCTGGTGGTGTGAAAGTGGGGAATTTGTTCTTACATTTGCTATATTGCTCGTCTGAAAATTGGTAATGTCGAAGGTCTGTTTTATTGCTTAGGGCATGTGGTGTCCAGGTGTGAGAGTCGTCGAATTTTATGAAAGTGGGGAATTTGTTCTTACATTTGCTATATTGCTCGTCTGAAAATTGCCGATGTCGAAGATCTGTTTTATTGCTTAGGGCATGTGGTGTCCAGGTGTGAGAGTCGTCGAATTTTTGGTGTAATAAAGTAATTTGCCCATGCCGGCTAAGACCTCGCTTTTTAGAAGGTGGTGTCTATTGAAAATAGCGATGTTACTGTTCGGCTCGTCGGTACAGCCGAACAACCCAAGCGGCGTCTGTTACGCATGTGACATAGGTGACTAAAATTAAGCGATTCTGCAGTATGAGATCAATGAAGATTTGTTTTAAAAATGGCACCACTGTGGTAGATTTAGAAAATTATGGTTTCCTTTCTGTTTTCACCTACAGTAGTCCAGATAGCGTTGATGTTATTTAGTGCAATATACAAGGTGTAAAGAAATTATGTCACGGTTCATATTAGGTGATTCTATACTGCGAGATCGATGAAGATCTGTTTAAAAAAGGGTACCACAGTGGATTTAGAAAAGCAACAGAGAACCATACGAAATAGAAAGAAGAGCGAAAGCAGCGATGGTTAAAGGGGTATTCTATAGCCTAGAATGCCTTTTTTAGGTTCACTTAGAGATTTTTTTACAGAGAAACCGTAAGACTTTTCAGTATCGATCTTTTGCACACTTATTTATTCGCGTTACAAGAATGTTCACCATTTTTTTCAACTGAAAATAACCAAAATTGACTGAATTGTAAGTTACTGAGTGTGATCCAGTTCATCAGTGACGTTACAAATCTGAAGATCGTAAATGTGAATTCCAACACTGAAACCTTTTTTTTCTGAAGGACTTGGAAAATTTCTCCTCCCTTACACCGCAGAAATGAGCTTCACTCTTGATGTTCAACGTGAAATTTTTTTTCTCGAAATGATAAAAAGCGTCGAAGCGAGGCAATTGTTCTCCTGACAAGTGACGTTGAAATTTCATTTAGGTTTCAATTTACAGATAAAGCCTAAGTGTCAGATGCGATGTAAATCTAATCGTTTAAACGTTTGCTGTCACACGCGTAATACAACACTGACATAATAATAGTGATCAATCGGTCTATCATTGCTACTTGAAGAATGTGAAGTGTTCCATTTATTACGAAGTACACGTACGAAATGATCATTTCTATGAAAGCAGTGGCAGTAAAATGAAACGAGAAATGTTCTACGAGCGTAGTTCATCGATTAGATAATATTCGATTGGGTGAATTTCATGGAAAAGCTACCGGAATAATATAACACCGAATAAATGAGCAATTGCAAACGTGTATTTTCCAGGGAGATATCACAAAGCTGGGGCATTGTGCAATTTCCCTTCACTTTTCGTCCATCATGTACCCATAAGTCGTGGAAACGAGTAATAAAGAATCGAATCTACCGGTGAACCAACGAACTGGTGACTAAACTTCCTGTATCGTGAAAAACTTTTCTGTACGTTGTTAAGTTACAATGTTACAAGAAAATAAGTATGCATAAATCATTTAAGCTTCTATTCCCACCTCGGTACCAACTTTCAGCAATTTTATACCGTCGATTTTCTCTTGAAAAATAAGTCGAATAAATGACAGCGCAATGCT